TCGCTCTACTCCGCGAACCCAAATACTAATCATCAAAGTTGACGATTATTTAGGTTAGGAAATCTGTCACAGCCACGAAATACTAGTGCTTTCCAATTGCAATATCCCTAGACACTTCGTGCATATCAGACATATAAAGCCAGCGCACACGATACTTGTTTCCCTGCTGGATTGCTAGCTGGATTAGAATCTTGCCACTGTATTGGCTGCGATGCTGACACTGACAGGTGGCAAGATTCTAATCTTGGACCGATTTCTAGCATCGTGGACACAAGGCTTAAACGACACGAGCCAGTGACAAATAAACTTCAATATGAATTTTCTTTAATATATTAACTTATTTCTATCCACATTTTATCGATACTCTTATTTCTTCAACGGATTTACTTAATAATTGCATTTAAATTAATTAATTCTATTAAAAAGTGCTTAGTAGCGTGAATTTGTCACTGGCCCGTGCCGCTTACCGTGCTACATATAAAGCCTTATGTCCACGATGGCAGAAATCGGTCCGAGACCTCGGATGAAGAAAGAATTGACCAATCGCAATGGTCATGTGATCAATTGTTCAAATGTGATTTGTTAATTTTTTCCCTGTCCGAGATCTCTGATCGATTTCTAGCATCGTAGACATCGGGCTTAATAGAGGATAGAGGAGAAAAGAAGTAAGCGGTACGGAGTTTGCATGGTTCCTATATAGCTGCCTATTTAGTTTCTATCGCGCTACATGTAGGCTGCGGTCCACCTAGCGCTTCAAACGCTACAGAGTATTTGTAGCACTGACATAACTGATCCATTTGATGCTTCGGAACGCTCTCATCTCTATATTACTCTGATTATGTTATCGTTTTTGCTTCCGCTTCGCTCCAACTCATCTTCGCCTCACCCCAGGAGGTGGGTTGGTTGGAGCGTTCACGTAGCAATTGTAACATTCGGAACAGTAATGGATCAATCGGAGCGTAGCGTTTGGAGTGTAACGTCAGAGCATTTGGAAGAAGCAAGTGGACCGCAGCCGTAATTGCACCCTGATATATCAAATTGCAAATTCAAGGCACACCGCTTCACATAGTAAAGATTGGGAAGGTCAAATTTGATGCGGAAATTGCCGTGCTTTTCATAATAAGAAAAGTTTATATTCATCAAATATTATGTTGAGAATTGATAGGGAGCCGGAGAAAAATCTTAAATGGAGGGAAAGGGAACGAAGTGTTGTTTTTTAATGATTTGAGATTATGCTACCTGTTACGGGAATTTTTATGTTGGGAATAGGAATACAAAACGATCCAAATAAATGTTTACGATTGTTGTTTCAATTTGTTTATTTAAACCCTGTCTTCGTTTTTTTAATTATCTAAACTATTTCAGATATTAATTATAAGATATTATTATAAGAGGATTTATTATCTCAAATTTTAACATCCTTCCGATTAAAATTGTGATAGGATAAAGTGATTTAATGTATTTTTTTTATATTTTCATGTTTTACTTTATTAAAAGATAATATAAGATTGTATGCATATGTAGCAGCTAATTTTATAATTTAAATTTTATTTTTAACATTGATAAAAACCCAATCGATGTCGAAACGTCTATATTGTTTATATTTGAAACGTTGATTAGGTATTATTTTTTGAATATTAAAAGTTATTGTTTCGGCTTGTAACCTTTTATTTTATTATTATTTTATTTTATTTTTATTGAGCCAGATTATTATTTATACGTTAAAATATAAATATGCAACTGATATGATACACGTAAATTAATAGAACTCTGAACACTGAATTTATATAAGTAAATAATTATGGTTTCCTTATATTTGGTACAGAGATTATTTTATAACAGCATTTACATGTATATAACATTGGATTACAAAATATAATTCATAAACCTTAATTCTAATATAGTGTACTTATGAATAGACAAACATATATATATATATGCATGCGTGCGCGCGCGCGCGCGCGCGTATGTATAAATATGTACACACACACACACGCACGCACGCATACCCAACATACATACGGAGTGTCTCATTTTAATTTACCCACGCAAATATCTCAAAAAATATGAAATATACGGAAATATGTTTCAGATGAAAATGGAACAGTTTCGAGGGAACATATTTTAGTCATGTTGTTTTTTTTTTTCTAGAAGCGTCAAAAAATTTATTTTACATAATATGATTCCTCTAATTATTCTGCGTGTAAAAGTAGATATTAAGGTAGATATAAAAAAAAAACATAGTTTATGAGGTTATTTATACTTCATTCTGATATATATTGACATGAAATATTATTGAATAGCTTAATACCAAACTATTAATTTCTTTATATTTTATACTTAATACTTTTATATGCAGAAAATTATATAATTCAATAAAGTAGAGGTGACCTTCACATCTTTTTGGCTCCTCTATCTAAAAAAAAATAATTTTATCAGAATCCTTCTTGAAACCGTCCTGTTTTTTATCTGAAATATTTTTCTGTATACTTTTTGAAGTATTTCGGTACGAAAGTTAAAATGGGACACAATGTATATGTGTGTATGTGTATGTATGCATCTGTGTCTGCGCATGCGTTGTGTGTGTGTGTGTGTGTGTGTGTGTGTGTATGTGTGTGTGTGGGGGGGGGGTGGATGGGCGCGCGCGCAAGGTAGTCTATTTTAGTTAATATAGTCAATTTTTATAAAGAAAAAAATTTGCTATGAACGCTAATTTTGTGCATAACAGCAAATTCTATTTGCAAATATGTATCACAAAATTATTTGCGGATTTGTATTAATGAGTACTTATTTTTTCATACTCGCTACAAAAATTTGCAACAAATGCAAAATATTTGTCAAATATGCAAATTCGTTTACTGTAAACAGGAAACAAATTTAACAAATTTTGTAATCCCTTTTGTGTTTATAATAATTTCTTCTTTTTATGTTCCTGAAATGATTAATAATACGAAAAAAATGTTTTAAATTCATCAAATGCCGTTTCGAAAGGAACGTATTTTGATTATGTTGTTTTTCTTCTGAAAACACCAAAAGGATATGAAAGTCACCTCTACTTTTTATGGGCGTGTGTTCATATAATTACCGCCAGTTGTCAATACAGTGTAGTATACGTAAGGAGAACTATAGATTTTTAATACTGGCAGTCAACTGGCAGTAATATATTTTTGGTGCCTCCACTTAGAAAAGAAACAACATGACCAAAATACGTCCATCTCGAAATCGTTCCACTTTCATCTAAAATATGTTTTCGTATTATTAATAATTTCAGAGAAAATGTATTAATTAAAATAGGCTATCCTGTATACGTATATACATATACATTTATATATGACGTCTTTGTTCTGTAGACGTATCTAAAGTCATAGTAAAGTTTTACGTAACAAACGTTTGTCATATAGTAAGTTGTTACATTAATTTTTTCTCTGGAGTTTGTTATTTTACTATAATATAAAATTTTACTATAATATAAAAATAATTATTAATTAAAGCTAGAAAATAATAATACCATAAAGAAAAAGATTTGTGTAACTATTTCTGTTTCTATCTTTTTCATACAAGGAAGATTGCAGAAAGTATTACCGGTGTAATATAATTATTAAAAAATACAGTTCCTCTAAATGTTAACTTAAAGGAGATGTCACCTTTGTATTGTCCAACACCTTGTATCTTTTGGAAAACACAATCCTAAATTTCATTATTGACCTTGCTCAGATACAATCCTTATTCTTGTATGTTTATGTACATACATTTATTTATTCCATGGTATAAGAATATAAAGTATTCCATTCTCAAGGATGCGAACCATCTTGAACATAATGTGGCTACTATTTCATCAATCAAAACGTTATCATAAATTTTAAAAAGGAGCATAATTGCTGCCATGTGCATTCCACTAATTTTGGGGTAAATATTTGAAGTTGTTTCTGATTTAGTCTACCGCCATTATGCGCAATGAAATACCTTATATTCTTATACGATGCTTTATTCCACGTGTCTGTACTATGGCCTGTGCGCGCGCGCTGGTGTGTGCAGACGCGTACGTACGCGCGTGCACGCACGCGTATGCGTGTGTATAAATTTATGGATATATAACATTAAAGATTATATTTGTATAATTGAATTATTTACGAATACCACTATTGTACAGCGCTGATCTGCTTTATATTTGTAAAGTTATATCCATATTAATCAGTGTTATTAAGCGAGTCACCTTTTCGCGCATGCAAGTGTAGCATCAACACTGTACTAATGTCGAACTTGTAACGGTCCTGTTAAAGCCCTATTTTGAATATCTATAAAAATTATATCACTTTGTTGGAAAATCAATAAGTATTATAGAGCAATGTAGAAATTTTAAAAAGGTCATAGATCTTTATTATTTACTTACAGCGAATTCGACTGGAGGCGTCATTAAAGTCGTTGTACATAGATATGAAAATGTATGTTTAATGTAAATATAGAAACAAGTAAAACCGTAAAGTCTTTAAAACACTTTATTATACTGTTAGGTAAAATATGTAGTTTATAATTTGAAATATTTGCATTTTATTTTTACATTCGGATAAATCAGTGCATAACGGCTTTAATGTGCACATTAATGCGTTCAATCGAATTCGCCATTAATCTTCTTGTTGCCAGATTTGGACGAATCCTAAAGTTACAGGACCTCTCTTTTACATTCTAACATATATACATTAGATTTTTCGGGCGTTGCAGTGCGTATGCGTGAAAAGGTGACTCGTCTACATCACTGATACTAGTCGACATTGGAATATTATAACTATTTTATTTAACTTCGATCACTTTCGGAATCTTGTTGCCTTTTGTATAATGCTACGTTGCTCTCTGTATAGTCCATTACACGTCGCTGACATTG